ACGTAAAAGTTAAGTGTATAAATACACAGAATATAACATCAGTCGTTTACAACTTCGGCACTACTTTTCAAAGTAAGAAAAGCATATTTAATAAACGTCATCTAAATCCGCGGAGCAGAATCCATCTTGAAAAGTTAATACTACGTTCAGCCAATCAAGAAACTACCCATCTTTTACGGATCACAAATCTTCATTACCGCTATCACAACAGACCTCCACCGATCCGTATCCTAAGCTAAAATCAGCAAGGCTACAAGGGTACAGGAATACATCGCCATCATATTACGAGCCAACACGGAGATATGCCTACTTCTATTACAGGCTAACCTCTGGAATCTCAATAAACCTGCAGAGTGAATTCAGTCGGAGATGCATTTCTCAAACCTCGTAACTGAGTAAAATCACGTTTTGAAAACTAAAACATCATAACCAGTGGCAGGGTTTACTTTTGTTAATTACGTAAGTCGATTTAAAAAAACAAAACAATTCGTATCATAAGATCTCAAATTATGGTATCAGAACTCGATGGTCAGGCTGTCATCACGTAAATGGCGCTACCAGTACTTATTCAACACCCTATTATCGACACCAAGTGGATGACTGCTATCAATCATTTTACGTTGTGGTATCGATACTTTACCTTCCCATGACAATCGATACAAAGTGGTAAAAAAATGTAATGTTGACAACATGAAATAAAGAGTTAGAGCTCTCACTATAGCTACTCGCTGCTATTCAGTTCTGCAAATGGATTCGATCCAGCTACAAGATTCGCAGTTTTTCCCACTCGCAAGATAGAAGTAAAAAAATAACAGTGAAAAAGAACGGTGACCAACCAATCATCTCGTCTTGCGGTCATACAGGTGACAAATCCATTTAATTCCCGCAAGAAATACGCCTTAGTACCAAACTGAAGCTGTGAGAACTACTTTCCCAAAAAGACTATAAAATCCATGCTGTGACCAATGTCAATTTTGTTCCACTATAAGATCACTGTCAAGTTCCGAGACGCTGTTCCTATTCATCCACTTAAATAAGCAATTCTCTTGTCGTTTAAGCTACTATGCACTTAAATAATTTGGGAAGATGGTGACTTGCGAGTGTTAAGAATAAACAACCCTTTCTGTTCACCCATAACTTGAGATAACAGTAGATAAAGCTAATAATGTATACATCTCAAACTTCAATTATGTTGAAGATGACTGTCTTCTGGGTTGTTGCGCCGTATAGTCTGGTAGAAGTTTACCGACGTTTCAGAGGTCCTTGCTGCCTCCATTATCAGAAGATGAGTATTTGCACTGATGATGGAGGCAGCAAGGACGTATGAAACATCTGTTAACTTCTACCAGACTATACGGCGCAATCATTGAACTTCGAGGTTATTAGACCATTTTGAAATAATTTTCCTGTCAGAAGTGTTGAGACGTGCTGCTCCATTTTGTTTGTAGAGAGATCATTCTGTTTTCACGCTACTGCCAGAGAAGAAAATCAACCGAACGTACTTAGGTGTTATCTCGAATGGCTGAATTTCACTCTGCTTATATCCTGTTGTAAATCTCAGAAAGGTCAAGGACCTTAACGGAGCAGCGCATAAAATTACTTAGTCTGTATGTATCACGAAGTTCAAGTGAGATGCTACCACTACTCATACACGCACGTAAATTACTCTCAGCTTGTGTGTCAATATCTGCGAACAGGCTCTAGTATAACTAGTTGCATCTCGAAATACCTTCTCACCGCTCCTTCACAAATGAACAGCAAATTAACTCGAATTTCAACGCGACAAATGAGTGTTTACAAGTATCAGAACTTCGTAGGATTTGAGGTTTTCACGGCGGTGAGTACAACGATGGTTATCTTCTGTTATTGCGCCGTATAGTCTGGTAGAAGTTGACCAACGTTTCGGAGGTCCTTGCTGCCTCCATCATCAAGGCGATGAGTTACGGGAACCAGTCAGTGAAGGTCCCTCGCCCGAATGTATTTCTCATCTCTCCTACGCGCTCTACATATCCCACCAATCCCATCCTCCTTGATATAATCATCCTAATGATATTTGGCAAAAAGAATGATATTTTCTCCACCCTCCTGTTTTCTTGTAAGAGAGACAAGCTAACCAGAGTTTCAGCTCAGAGACCCTACGACAGAATTAGCCACTGTTCCTGCCATGAAGTGTAAGTGTGGGAGAGAGTTTGACCCCAAGCATCGTGACAACAGAAGCTTCGAAGCAGCCAACAGCATCGACCGGCGACAAGACACAATACATAAGTAGGGAGCAGTCAGGCGTGACTTCTGCATCCAACTTCTTCCGCGTTTAGAGTCGTCCTTCAGTGCAGCGTCCTTCACCAGGACATTCCTCTCAGACACGTGTGAAAACTTCTTGTACCACAAGCATATACAGCAGCAGCAAAATCACTCCTGATGATGCTACAAGAACAGTGTGCGAATCATATAAAGCCACGAGGACTCTCCAACCCAGTAAGAACAGTTGATTATTTTTAAAGAATATGTTGAACCAGTAAAAGTTCTGAGAAACAGTTCTGGCTAACCTCAGGTTTTCCGAATGACATGCTGTAAACATCTGTAATTTCTCATACGCGTGCGAAAGCTGCCATATACTTGCACAGACAATAATTTTATCGTGTAAAAATGATTATATAACGTAAAGTTCAAAATTTTCTTCCAGACATCCAACAGTACGTCTCTTCATATAAAAGAATAGCTTTATTTGAAAGCTTAAATTAATTTGTTATACACACGAAAGGCTTATTACATAAACAGTACGCAATCTCTTCGCGGCTGGGTGACACCATGACGAAACGTCAGAAGAGAGAAAACGAGAAAGCAGGCTGGGTAGACATAACTGAATTCTGTGTACGTAGAAATACATGTTTCTTCGACGCTGACTAATGCACTAATGTATTTTATTAATTAATCTTGACGAGAACGCAAAACATAAAGAACGCCTGTAAGCACAGCCCAGAAGAAAGGCATCTTCAAACATAACCTTCATCAGTAGTTCGCGCATGACGGAAGGTGGAGGAAAGAGCCAGTGTTTAAGAATCCGGCCTGTAACAATATTATGTGTGAGGATCGACTTGCGATAAAGCAATTATTTCAAAAACATTCACAGGAGACAGAATATTTTAATGCATTTACAATACCTTCAAAGCGCGGAGTGAATTACTTATTGATTGTTTTTGTGATACAGGAATTAGTCACTGAGGAAACGTGACCAAAGCAGTTTGAAACGGGAGGTCTATGCATTTAAACTGCGACCAGTTGCAGTTTGTTCTCAAGACTAAAGCGATTGATTACGCGCTTGATCATAAACGGTTCACTGCATCATCAGCAGCAATCAGGTCAAAAACACGCCACGAACTGCATAAATTATGTTAAAAACTCACGCTGTCTAAGAAGAAATAATGATTATTTCATACTTATTCGAGCCTGTTAAACGCGTTTAGATAAGTAAGGTCTGAGTTTTTCACGGCGGTGAGTCCGAATACAGCAGTCTTCGCTTTTAGATAACAACATACATTTTTTTATTTAATTTCAACCACTGATCCATTCAGAAGAGTTAATTTAAATTATATAAGGGTAGCCACTGAATGTTTAATTTTTGTTCCGTATGTTACCAAGAATATCCAAAAGGGTCTCTTTAAGTCGGTCTCACGTATCGAAACTATAAATCGAACGAAATGCCTACACATCTTCAGGAAGCGATTAAAAGTTTACGAAGGAACTGAAATAAAATGAGTCTATTTACATTTATAAGGACTGGTCACAGTCCAAATGAACCTCAAGGCTACCTGCTTCGGCTGTGGGTCACGTCCTATCAGCAGACTAGCGTTCCTCAACCTTGCTGGTACTGAAGACCCCCTCTATCTCATATATTCTGATTAAAAAGAACATAGACCAACCAAAATGCCGATGAGAGATACAGTTTTTACTCCAACGTCGAAGTAAAAAAATCTTAAAACGTGCATCAAAAATAAGAGTAGAATGTACTCAACTCGCGAACATCTGGCTGAGAAACACAGGGCTAACGCACGTCTTACAATACTGGTAGTGTCCTGAACGTGGTCGAGAAAGAACCTTTTTTTCAAAGACAGCATACACGTAGACAAGAGGTCATTACCGTTAAGCAGTATGATTAATATTTACGTGTTTATTCAAAGTCACTCCGGAGTCAAGCGGAGAAAACTAAGTCCAGATCTGAAACTGCTAACTCATTGCAAACATTTAGCAGATATTTTGCTTGGTGTAGATTCGGTAACGTGGAGGATACTGAAGTGGTTCTACCACTTTGGCTTAACAAACGCAGCACGGAGGTTCAACACAATGCTGACCGTTGTGCCCATTTTCAATGGAGAAAACCTCCAGATATATACCAGGGCAGTAAACCAAGACGATTTCCTCTTTACCGTCAACAAATTCACGACTGCACATATAAAGCCATTATAATACAAAATCGCCTATATCAACAACTCTTCAACGTTCATTAAAAGACGATAACTGATTACGTACCTTTATAAATCCATAGTTCACTTCTATTTTAAGACCGTCATTGCAATATTACAACTAAAAAGCGGAATAAATTACAGAATAAATACAAAAACCTTCGAAATTTCGGAAGAATCCCGCTTTGCCAATTAGTGTAACTATTAAAACAAAATAATATAATTTGGCTAAATTAATTCTGTATTCGGGACAACTCTGGTTTCTAAAACCAGGAACAGTATAGATTTATTTGGAGTAAAAATTCTCAAATATAAATAAATTCAAACAGAATGTGAGTTAACGAGGCACTTCCTCACAGCACATCAGACCGGATGCTTAAGTGGGTCACTAAAATGTATCATCGTCTTCATTCTTTCAAACACGAGTGCCATGCTCACTTGCATACGCTATTGCAAAAGTCTCGTGATGTTTCTTCGACGTCACGAATTGTGAATTTTGGTCACGTTTACAAAGCGTCAAACTGATGTTTTATGTTTCAGGAACCCGTGAAGATACCAGGAGGAGCAGCAGCTGCAGCTGCGGGCCTCACCAAACCCACAAGATACCACTACTACCCCCACAACCAGCACATATACTTGCTGCCAGAATGTGCCATACAACAGGTACGAGGCCACTGACTCTCATGAATGGAATTAAGTTCTAAAATCTGTGTCCTGTCACCACGACATGGCACGTCCTCAGATTCATCAATCACTATTCAATCGTATCACTATTTTGTTTTATAATAAAGTTATCAATAGACTGTTAGAACCGTACATAAACCCTCTCAAACCGATGCTAATTTATGAATTCAGTCCGCATCACACACCATCATTAGAAAGATCAACTGCTTAATGATGTATGAGAAAGTAATCTCTGTTTACAATGAGAATAATAGGGGAACCCATAAATACAAAATGCAGAGTTGCTGGTTCTTAAAGCAGGTAGGACATAGTTACCGGCGACCTTTAAGGGCCATACATGATATAAATGTTTTATCGAAATGTTCCGCCTATTACGATATATATGTATAATTTACCTGTCACAACGGAATGTTTCAGGTGTGTAATGCAGTGTACGTACGTCTCAACTTCACACAACCACTGTGCGCCTGTCCAAGCCGATACCGTGACCCCTGTTCAGCAAGCACCAATACGGACGACTTGCATTCTACAGAACTTATCACAGACCCTCGAGGAAAGGTAAGTTTCATTCACATACGTGTTCACATAAATACCTGACCACATCGCACTTAAAAGTCCACATAGCTTTGCAACTCGAAACGTCAACATCGGGTTCAACGTCAGATAAACTTGTTGGGAGAACGAGCGACAACTGAAGTTTAATTAATTTGCTCTTACTTTCCGTCAAACGATTTCATCCGAACGGATAGCTTCACCACAAAGCACACAACACGCATTTGTCCCATGGTGCACCGAACACGATGAATTCGATGTTACCACGCCAATGTCACTGGCCTACGCGTGCCAAAGATCGGCACGTAGCGCTCTGAAAGCTCTAATGTTTTTATGATTTTCCTCCGTTCATCCAAACGAATTCTATAACCCTACCAAAATATAGGTGCCCACTTCACTCAATTATCCTCTGCCTCCAAAATGAACGAAACAAAAATTAAACTTCAAATCAACGAAATGACAGCACGCCGCGACAATTCAGCAACTTCTCCTGCGCATTTGTGAGACGGGCAATCTAACTGGTCTGTAGCAGGCGTTCATTTACTGCCAACAGATCAGCAATTCAAAATTTCCACACTAACGTTTTCTTCATATGCCCGTATTCCTCCTCCCCCGAGTTTCTTAATATGGTCATATCTGCACTTAAAGCAAAATTATTACATATTTTAAGCCACTAGCATATCAGATGATTTTGTACACTCAAAATTCATATATCAAATTGATCTAAATATTTCAAAATAAATGTCTTAAATTTGTTACAAATCTACGTCATAGCCGTCCAACATAAGTTGTAAAAAATAACTAATTTTAACTTTCATCCATTTAATTTCACAGCTGTCATTTTGTCTGTCACTCAAGGATGAAAACGTCCTTTGTCGTCAGAATATGCTAACGGGTTAACGTCTCTGGACATTCCTCCAACCTTGACGGCCAGCTGAAGAGTTCTACAAGCATCACCAACAGCACCTATCTTTATTCAAACTTCGTTATAAAGAAGGTTCATCGAACCCAAACTAACTTGCTACCTTGATCGTCCAAAAGACGATTTGAAACGCGAAAATCGCACGGCGTTGTATCCTACGAATTAACCAGTCCCTAAGGAATCTCACTTGAACGGCTCTGATATATAGAGGACTTGTGACTAAGCGATCGGAGCGTAAACTTGGCCACTCACCCGAGCATCATATCCCCATGTTAAGAATGCGTGGAGCTTTACTTTCGTTCTCACATATGTCTTCGTGGCATAAGCTTAATTGGGGGGGGGGGGGGGGGGGTGGTTTTTTCCATTAAGCATATAAAGTTATGTCTTTAACAGACAAGTTCATGCGAAATTCGATGGCATTCGTGTGCTGAACGCTCATAACGGCCCCTGTACACTCCCAAACAAAGGCTCGTCCATAATGCGCTTTTAATCAAGGCAATCATCAGGTGCACAGTTTGACAACGGAGCGAGGGAGTTCCTTCACGCTCTGTGGATGTGCGGAATGCCCTCCACCTCCACATGTAAACTCTAACCACCGCACACAACTAACGGTTGAAAGGAGAACTTTTATTTCTTGCACAAAACAGATTTCTCTTTGTGCCCATTTCTTTTTGAGAAAACCCGTTTGATCTGGCTTGATCGCCTTATCTTACAAGCGAAGTACTTCCTGGAAGAAGAACATCTTTTCCGGAGCAACACTTAGATTTCGTCTTTGGAACTGTCTTTGTTAAAGATCCGAATGAAAGGCGCATTCATCTCATGCAGTGATGTTGAATCAAGTCTGAAATTGCTCGCCTGCATTTTACCATCATCGACACCGTTTTATTTTACTATACGTACATCCTGTTTCTCCTCACATCAAACGCAAGAATAATAATAATAACAATAATCACATAGACTAGTAGGAGGATAAGACGCAGGTTTTGTAGAAAATGTTTGCGATAAGAACAAATGAAACGTGATATGCATGACGTAGTGATGTCACAGTAGGCCCATAGCTACGGACCAAGTGAAGCAACAGACGACCCAATGGCATAGTCACCAACGTTTCGAGAGGGCACCAGACTACACGGCCCACCATCCCAAAAGGCAGTCATCTTAATATAAACAAAATTTTGGAGAAAATGACTGCATTATACGCTGGCGATTACTTCCAAATCACAACGAACACACCAGCTGAAATATTTAGTTCCTGCGCATTCAACGTAAACACATGCCGTGAAATCAAAATTAACCGAGATACGGACAGCTTTAGCACGTCTCTAGTCCTTTCAACAAGAAAATTCAGGTTGAAAACAGAATACAAGTACAAAAAACAATTAAACGGAGACAAAAATTATAGGAATAGTTAGCAGATGTCTCGTTATAAGTGGTGAGTGACAACATTTAAAGAGAACGACAGTTGCAGTAACTGTAAACACCCTTAAAAAGTGATTTGTTTACACGGACTGTTGGACTGGTAAACCAGCCGCAAGCAAGACATCTCCAACTGCACATTTCACGCTATATGCATTTTTAAAGAATCCCTTCCTTAATGAACAGCGTACGAATGTACAACAAACAAATTTAATGATTTAAGGTTCTCACAGCGGTGAGTATGAAGATTTCTGTCTTCTGGGTTGTTGCGCCGTGTAGTCTGGTAGATGTTTACCAACGTTTCTGAGGCCATACTGCCTCCGTCATCAGGGCGATTACAGGGCCCGATGGCAGGCTGCTGTGATCACAATAGGCAAATAAGTCTAAGGGTTTCATGAAAGAGAGATTTTCTTGACTAACTAGGTGAGTATCAGCATGTCAAGGACTGTGTTCCACAGTTAGGTAAACATAGGCTACAATGTTACCGTCATATAGGTTTAAACAAAACAGATTCTTTACATAAGTTGCTTTTGAAACAAAACGTAATTTTTAATTAAAATTAAAACGTCTCACAATGTCCATGAAGTTTGTTATTTTTCCAACACACCATCGCCACAAGCGTTCAAATTTAAATTACGCAATATATCCCTGTTTCCGGATTCCACGGAGCACAACATAACCACCGGTTATTGTAGACGAATGCGTCAGCCAGAACAAATTGCAACATGGCAACGCGTGTAGTCGACCTCAAGACCCATATTTCACCGGTATGTAATTCCAAGTCACGCACCCACGTACATATACGCAAGCACGCCATAAGAAAGGGATCCTTAAAAAGATTTAACAACGCAAATGGAAACAGTGATTCGATATGACAAACCCACAAACAACGGAACATTGTTCTGGTGCCCCCAAAATATTCTAGAACAACATCTACCTCTTCCTTCACCAGGCACGACAAAAGCTGAAAAGTACGGCCTACTCTTAAAAAATGATTTTTAATATTATCCACGCCTCACTCGTCATTTATTGCAAATTAGGTGTATGTACAACTGCAAAGCTGATCGACAGGGCAGATATCACACTGCAGTAATGTATCCAACTGTTATAAGACCACCCAAAAGGGAGAATACTTCGTAAAAAACAGAAATTTTGTTTACTTGTATTTCGTTGAATATACAATACCGTATCGAAAAACATTTCAAATTAAAGTTATGGATCTTATTTAACACTCGGCACCCATGTCTTGTGCGATGAACCTTACTAAGACAATTTATAAAACTTTGAGTTTCATTTAAAGCAAGGATGACAACGCAGATATACTGCGAAAAATTAAATTATTCTAAAAAAATCAGAATACACTTCTTAACATAGAGTTTCAAAACGCGTTAAGAGTTGCAGAGATGAAGAGGAGACCTCTCCATTACGATGACACAGATCGATGTGCGAAGGGTGACGTAGCTTATGATTATCGATATTAAGTGAACTTCCGGTATTATTCATCGGTGGTGATGTAAAACGCAGTAAATTGATTGCTTTACTAGAGAGTGGTCGTGTGTGTGAAGTACTAATTCATAATTATTTCTGTGGTACGTGACACACAGAACGGTATTCTTAGTACTATGCGGTTATCTGGTTCCAGGGTAGTCCACATGCGATTTGCTGTAGAAAAAATGGCACTGGGGCAGGATTTTCGCAGTTCTTCGGTTTTCCCATCGACATCATTCCACCGGTGCGCCATATTCATTCATGTTATCGACCCCAGACTCACGGCATCGTAACAATATAAATATCAAAAACACGTCAGGAAATGTCCATCACAGTCTTGTTATAACATTTCAGGCTCTTACACTTGCGAAAACCTGCGAACCAGTAGCTGAAATGCGAGAATGTCGAGCACCGAGGGATTGGTCGCTGCTGGCATTGCAGAACATTCGCACCGGGAAGTCACATTACCTCGTCATCTGTCGCTGTCCGCTCACCAACATACTAGGTAAGTTAAGGGTAGCAATGGTCACTGATTCTCTAAAGGCCTGTGACAATGTTCGGATCTTTATAGCAATATTATGTTGAACACTGTCCATTATCCGAGGTATGGTTGATACATACGACGTTTCGGAAGTTGGTTCTTCTTCCGTCTTCGGATGAATGGCTGCCATTTTACCGATCGATATATCATCATTTTTAATGATTCTTGGCGACAGTAATTTGGATCGAACCCGGAAACTTCTGAGTACATTGCATTACCATGCCAACAACCTGAGTGGTGTCTCACAAGTTCTTCCGTCATTGCACAGTCATACAGATCATTTGTGATCACGACTGAGGCTTATAATTGAGGAACAAAGGGCTTGAATCTCTTATAATCCATACAAAACACAATTCTAGGAAAACTACTAGTTGTCAGGTTACCAAATATTATTACGGTGACGAAATAAACAGCAATGTGGATTCAGTATGAGAGAACGCATCGTATAGACGAGAAATCAATAAAAAAATGCTAGTTAAAAACCTGAATGAAAGAGACTATTTGGGAGACAGAGACATAAACGCCTATTAAATAAATACGTGAGGATGCAGACTGGATTCATCTGGCACAGGATAAGGACCAGCGATGGGAAGCTGTAACACGGCCACAAACCTCCTTGTTCTATAAAAGACAAGGAATTTCTTGACTAGATGAATACCTATTAGCTTTTCAAGACGCACTAAGCTCCATGGAATTAATTTAACATTCTTATTTTAGCGTAATTACGTATTGTACAAAAATTGCTCTGTCCTGCTTCATACATCTCTGTGTGTGTAGAATGGTATATATGCAAAAGTGAGCAAAAAACAGCAATGCTTAATTTGATGTGAATAAAATGTAATCTGATTTTAATCCATCCTTAATTCACTTTGAAATTACAGACAAAATTCTAAAGATCTGTGACACGTAAACGAAACCACGACAAATGATGAATAAATTCTATGTCTTTATTGTTTCTGTTAATACAGAAGGCCCTATGAGTCACGACCAACCAACATATGCGAGCGTACCAGGGATTCGAGTATACGGAATGATGTGTGTCCAAGTCAATAACAGAAGGGGCCGACATCTCCGGTCTGCGAGATCAAGTGGACGTAAGTTATGACGAATTTTATTAAAACTCCCCATTATCAAATTCAGTGTAAATCAGTTCTTTAGTTGTTACACGTGACCGCTGAATGGAAGGACATTCTTGCAATTTTTATTTGTGAACATGCCTGAAAACCATTAAAACATCATACCATTCAATTTTACTCCTGTTTCAAATTTTAAAATCTCCTACTTTTTGCATTTATTATGATAATATACATTTGTATTTCTCTAACAGTATGAATTATGATATTCTGCGTCAAAACGAGCTACGTCTCACCCTATCTCGCACTTATAACTCATTATTCAGTTATCTCAATATTTATAAAACACGAAAAAGTGAATATGATTACAGTGATCAACCTTTTTTATATTATTCTAAAGAATTAAATGCTCGGAAAGATGAAGTCCTTGCCACGAAGACGCAAAATAATACGCTGTTGAATTTCAGGCTCGATGCCACCTTTACCGTGGAGAAGAGTTAATGAAATGGTCGATGCATTACACTGGGACGACTGATAGTTCCATTTCAACTGAAGCCATCAAAGACGAGAGAAAAATCACCTAACGTTTATCAAGGAAGATTAAATATTTCACTCCAATGTTATGACACGTGTGAACGTCGAAAAGTGACGAGCGAATAGCTTGAAATGAAAAGTGGCACACGACTTCGCCAAGATCTACTTCCGGACGTGCAGATATGAGAAAACTGGGATACACAGACAAAATCACAAAGTAACTAATTCCATGTACTGTGGATACCAGCCGAAATAAACTTTGGCGTGTCGTACAATTACTGTACAATGTTTTCCAAAATCTCGATGGAATTTCAAAGAACATTTTAAGGAAAATCATAAAAGTAACGTTAATGTATTTATTCCGGCGATTTTCGCGAGATTAAAATTCACGCGCACATAATTTACAAGGTCTTAAATTAACAACGGCAGTGTATGTGTTCTATCTGTACCTAACGTTCTACAGATTGAATATTTAAGCCAATCAACTTCATATTATCAATTACATTAACAGATAATTTTAATGCTATAAAATATATTAAAAATTACTTATAAACCAATTCCTGTAAGGGTAATTTTTTTACAGAGAACTGTAGGCATAATTTCCAAACTTTGCAGAACTTTTTAAAGTTAAATTTTGATCTTATCACTGTTGAGCAAACCTATGAATATTTATACAGGGATTAGCTCTGCCAGCCCAGTTCTTTTTCCGCTACATCAGCTTCACCATTGAATTCGGCGTAATAAACATGCCCACTTCATTACGTTGAATTCAGTCGGTCAGTTTTTGGTGTTGGCAAAACACACGTGGGTTTGGGACTTGGTGGCCACAGGTGGAAGAGGAAGTGGCAAGATGGGTTAAGTTGACACAATTTCAAATTTGGAACACCTGAGCTATCACGTACCAAAACAAATAGTGGGGCTTTGCTTAGAAATACTTCTCACACTGACATTTTTTTAATATAATACTTTAAAGTAACTATAAAATGTAAAAATCAAGAGACTTTTCACCTTCCACTGTTTCAAGTACCGCATAAAACCGGACGTTGTTTCTAAGTAACAAAACTTAATTTTACACGTCTGTTGTCGTAGTGACTAAAATTTAGATACATCAATTTTCTTCGTGAAGATGTTAGTTCGAGAATATCGCAGTATCCTTACGGATCGATGTACAATAAGGTTTTCTAGCACGAGGCAACAGCGATACACACGCAGAGTTTCCGATGGCACCATTTCCATCTATCTGTTGCATTATAAGGGTTATAATGGACTGGTATGGTATGAGATGCCCTGACCATAGACCTGCATTTTAATACTGCAACCCCACCACATATTTCAAATATAAAAGATATACTCGTCTAAAATTTACCTCGTTTACCACAAGCCTTAAAGATTCAGCTCCTTCGAGATCGTGATTTGTTAATGGAAAATACAATGAATTATTAACTTTCTTTACAAACGCTACAAATCAATTACTCATAAGATAAATCAAAATTTATGTGACAATTAGTGGGTATGATATTCAATGCTTCGTGTATATTTACAAAAGATGTATTTTAAGGGTTTTATTTCATAATAATGCATCATATAGGACATTATTAGCCTATACAGAAAAGTTATTGAATCTGTTGTAGTCGATGGTAGTTTTTTCCCAGAAAATAAGATACTCAACTAAAACCCACACCATAGGCTGCAATAAAAATCTAGGTATGTAATTCTATGAAACTGTCTCTCTAGAATATGGTGTATTTTTCATTCATTAAGCGTGCATTGTGAGCGGACTAATTGATGATGTCTCTTGTTGCAAGTATGGCTTGTTATAATTTCAATAAATATTTCACCTACAGCCAATTTGCATATACTAAACACTGTCATGTAATAGATTTACTGCAAAATGACAATGCTCAATTTCTATTTCAATGTTCTCAATTTATGCTTCATGGTAAAACAAACATCTTACATAACGAGCTACTTTCGAGTTTTAGAATATATCTAGCCGTAGATGTAATACTTAAGACTTACGTAAAAGTAACTTTAATCGCAACAATAAAATGTTTAAGTTATTATTTATTTAATCTGGATGGTGCTGTATAATGTAAATAAATTTTAATATCATATTTATAAATGCGTTCAATTAATTCATCACGTGTACCTCACTGAATCACATTTTACAAATTCAATTTATGTCAAAACACATGTATAACATGCATTTGAATGTGAAATTTCAACGAGAGCTCATTATGACTGATGATTGATTGATATCCTGTCGCTCTTATCCAGAGCATAGGGCCTCGACAAAGCAGCTAAAATGTCTACAGAGAGTCTGAAAGACGTTCCGTCGACAGACTCGGTGCAGTGAAATCTAACAATGGAGCAGAATCCTTCTTCAGAGGTCACTAGACATTCATCTAGTTAATAAATTCAATTCTGAAGGGTTTTGACGACGGTAGTTTATGCCAGCTCTATCTAAGGGGCCCAACAGAGTAGGTACCTATCACCTGAAGACGGAGACACGACCAACCTCAGAAACGTCGCGGTTTTAAAGAACAGACGATGAATAATTTTAGTTAATAAATTCCAAGTCTTTTATGGAACTCAAAGGTACGTTGCTATTTCACAACAGCCTGTCGCTTACCCTTATCGTGAAGCCGGAAGAATCGGTACCGAGAAATTTCACGGCAAAATTAATACGCGGCAGATTTGTGTTTTAGCTGATCAACAATTAATTCAACTCCTTAATTAATATCTCGTCAAACAATGAAACAACTGTACGATTCTCCCAGTCGCAAGCGAATACTAAGACATTATTGAGAACGTGATTCCTGTTGTAAACGTCTATAAATATCACAATAGCAAAATGGTTCCCTTGAACATATACAGAGAGCCAAACAGGATCTCCTTGAGTACAAAGACCATCCCACACAACAGAAAGATTAATAACAATTATCAACACAGTAGCAGAAATACTCGGTAGTCAAACGTAGTCAGTATCAAAGTATTACATAAATATATGACTCACCAAGCGCTTCAGCATTGACCTGGATGTTGCAACTGTACATAGCGGCCATGAGTCGCTGGGGCCGAGCTTGGAATGCCTTCCGACAACCTTCTTTCACTGCAGACATAATCTGTCCTGAAAAGGGCCCGTAGGGTTGACTGCTGCTTGTAGTCTCACTAAACACAAAATTTATAAAAAAGTAAATTGCCTGCATTTAATTCTCCATCATGGCTTTGAAAGGTTCAGTTTAGAGAGTTCTGATTCAGCAATTTGAGTCACAAAAGTCTGATAACTGCACGTGACAGGAAACAGCTCTCGATATACCAAGGTCGAACAGGTGCAGTAACAGACTGGAAAAATAACTACTATTTATCACCACTGAATCCTATTCCTAGGTAAAGGCAACATGCACAGTGTCCAAAAAAGATAAATACACTTACGAGGTGCGATCGGAAAGTTTCAAGACTGTGTCAATAGAGGGCGAACCGGATGTAGTACGAGCTTCTGCCGCTAGGGGGTGCGGCCTACATTCATAGTGAATCAGTGTGCCAGCCGGCATCATCGAATTAGCATTTGTTTCTTAGTTACGGGCGTT